AATATTTTTATTATGGAGTATTCAAATATATTCTTTTTTTTCGCTATTAATTCTACTCTTGTCTTATTTTAGGGATGGATTTCTAATATCCTACTTTTTTAAAATTATCTGAGTGAAATGTATTTTGATATTCACAATTAAAGATTTAATGCGAATGCAACTTGATGACCAATATATGCACTGTGATTTGTAATTTAGATTTTATTCCATTTTTTTTATTAATTTGTCGCTCTGTATGTGATAAGAAATTTTAAGACGCGTTGTATGCAAAACAAGTGTAATATAGATTCGCGAAATAATTTGCCCATGTGGGATTCGAACCCACATCTGTAAAACATACCGCTCTACCATTTGAGCTAATAGGCAACAATTTGTTCTTTTAAAAAGACTTCCATATTACACTTAGACATATTAAATATGCAATTTAATCTTTTAATATTTGCATCATTGTACATTTTTCTAACTCATACTCAAATGCATCATTCAACATTTAAAATGAATCTTCGTTTGCAAAAAATCAATATCTAAATCTAATGGATGCATCATTATTTGTGTGAGGAGAGTTTCACTATTAGATAGATGAATTTCGCTTTGACTTTGAAAATGCACAGTAGCAAAATACATTATATTTTACGTGTATTCTATGAATGCATTTGCCTTAACATGTAAATGCATTACCTTTACCCTGATGATGCATATTAGCAGAAACTCATGCAGACTTTGTTCATTAACCTTTAAAAAAAATTTAATGCATGTTACAATGCACCTTGAATCTTCGTTTGCAAAAATTTCAATATCTAAATCAAATGGATGCATCATATTTGTTTGAGGAGAGTTTCACTATCTCATAGATGAATTTCACTTTAATTTGACTTTGAAAATGTATAGTAGCAAAATACATTATATGTTACGTGTATTCTATGAATGCATTTTCCTTAACATGTAAATGCATTACCTTTACCGTGACGATGCATATTAGTAAAAACTCATGTAGACTTTGTTCATTAATCTTTAACAAAAATTTAATGCATGTTACAATGCACCTTGAATTCTCTATGATGCATTGCTAGTGTGTGATTATCTGTCCTAACCTAGAGAATTATGCAACTAGTTTTTAAAGTCCAATGAATAATGGCAAGCCACTTTTTACTCAATCATGTAAACAATGTGTATTAGACCAACTCCAATAATTTGTCTCAAACTTAAATCCAAAATGCAGTAAATATCTAATCAAACAATAATTTATCTCAACACATTACACTAAACTCAAAAGTCAAACCCAAAAAATATTCACTATATGCTTTTTTTCTTATTACTTTTTATAATTTGAGAAATTTAAAAAGAGTAGGCATAAAAAAATGGAGTAATAAATCAAACTTGTAGTACAAAAAAAGATTTTAATTCGAAACATAAATGAAAATAGAAGAATAGAGGATGCATATGTATAATTGGATGAAAACGTTTTTTCACAAATTTTCCAAAGACACCAAACTTGTTTGGCTTTTGTGTGTGCAAACTAAAGGAGACAAAATGCATTACGATGTAATTAGTTATGCATCGTGGCTAGGCGGCTTAGCCCCACCACGATGGACTTTAATTTCCGATCTTAGAACTTGGCCACTAATTGAAATTTCAAATCGATTGTTATGAAAGCCAACCTTGAAAACACAAAGAAATTTGACATGTAGCTTCTTTAATCATAGACTTCCATTGCAACAAATGTGAGGAGAAGAAGCCCGTGTTACAGATCTTGGCGCTGGAATCGACATCAAGATCCTCAATCTCCTCCTCGCTATTGTTCTCCAAATCTTCCTCCTTACCGGTGTTCTCCAACCCATAATTGTTAATCATCTCCTAGCCACTTCTACTCTGCATCGCAAGATGTATGGCAAGTATTTATGAAAATCAGAGAAAGGAAGAGAAAAATGAAAACTGGATGAGAGAAGAAGATGATGCGGCCCTAATTTCAAGACGCATAATAGTATGGGAATCGGAGAAGTAATGGAGAAAGATAGAAGAATCACAGATCACGGCAAAAACATCGGAAATTATCCACGAGATAGAGGCGTGATTTATGGTCTGCAAAAGAAATACCCAAAAAGACCTTCAAAAAGATAGAAACGAATAAGGGAGAATTAATTAGATGCATTCGATCGGACGGTGAAAAATAATTCTCATTTCTTTCGTAAGATTGTATTCTCACCAGAACCAAAATCTATATATATATATATATATATATATATATATATATATATATATATATATATATATATATATATATATATAGATTTTGGTTCGGGTGAGAATGTGATCTTATGAAAGAAATAAGAATTAATCTAGTGCTTTAGATTGTGAGATCTAAGGGTCAAGATTGCATCAAAATTAGGTGCACCAAAATAGCTTGAAAATGCATCATGTTGAAATGCACCAAAAACCTTTGAAAATGCATTATCTCAAAATCTGAGCGCAGGATGCAATTTGAGCCACACGATGCATCAGATCCCAAGGTTAGATTTTATTTTTATTTCTTTCACCAAGGTGCATTCTCACCTGATCCAGCCCCTATATATATATATATATATATATATATATATATAAAGGAAAATTTTATTAAAGGAAAAGAAAGGTACAGGGGGTGGCCAACCCGACAACAGGCCAAAAGGGGAACCAAAACCAACAAATAGAGTACAAGAAGGACTGCCATATACTAAACTAAAAGAAGAAGCTGACAACAGACTAAAATTAAAAGAGGAGCTGGAGATAAAGATGCAGGACTCCAACTGCATCCCTATTAAAACCCCTAAACTGCTTCCGTGGCTGGTCATCCAGCAGTTCATCTACCCCCAGATCACAACCAGTATTAGAGTCCATATACCATTCGTTTTAGCCTCCAACCCTGTCTAAAAAAAAACCAGAACCCTATGGCAAATTCTAAAGCATAATTCCTAATCTGCTATAAAACCTTGAAAACCCATTTCTCTAAACCCCTAGAAAGTGCAAGATTAACCCTGCTTCATTTAGCCCTCGCTTGATCTACTAAGGAAAACCAGCAAAACACGTAACTAAGTCGAATAAATAAGACTAAACTTTAACCAAAATTATCTTGTGACTCTTCAGCATGCATGCTCCCCTGTTAGAAACTCCGCCACAAGCCTTTCATCAGCTTTGGAACACGAAATGAAAGCTGGATATTTAGTATCTTCAAATTGAACTAGGGTCACCTTTTCCATGCTTTTCACCGTCTCGCGTGTTGCTCGAAGAGTTTTACCCGACATGTTTTGAAAAAGTCCCATTTTCAGTTTATCCAGTAGCGATGTCCTCGCCAAAGCCTCTAGAACCTGTTTTTCCACTGCCCTGAAGATTGTTTC